TTGCCCTTGTTGCCTAGAATTGCTTTTGCTGGTCTAGGGCTCTTCTGGTACCCTAAGAATTTTAGGATTGTTTCCTCTAGTTCTGCTAGAAGTATGCTGTTGGTATTTTGATTGGGATTGTGTTAAATCTTTGTACCAGTTTTAGAAGTATGGTCATTTTCGCTGTATTAATTTTTTTTTCAGCTTTAATTGAGTTTATTGGTATGTTTTAGGGATACAGTACAGTTACATTTATTGTTGGGATCTTGTACCTCTACATGACAAGTCTTGATTCTCATTTTTTCCCCTTACCTCTGCCCTCCCTTCACCCCCTCCTCCCCTCCCCATCTACAAACACTTTATTTTCATCTTTTCATTCTCTCACATTTTTTTCTTTTCCCTTTTTACTCTTCCCCCACCCATCCCACCTTCCCTACACCTTTAGCTCCTTTCTTCCTCGCTGTATTAATTCTGCCTACCCAGGAATGGGGAATATCTTTCCCTTTTCTGGTATCTTCTTTGATCTCATTTTTCAGAGTACTATAATTTTCATTGTTGAGGTCTTCCTGGTTATGTTAATTCCTAAGTGTTTAATTTGTCTTGATGCTGTTGTGAAAGATATTGTTTCTGTAATTTCTTAGTAAGTTTGTTATTGGAATTTTGAGTGTTGACTTTGTATCTTGCTATGCTACATAATTTGGTTATTGATTCTGGGACTTTTTTGGTGCTCTTCTATGTAGAGGATCATTTCATCAGCAAAACACCCTCAACTACATCATTTTTTAATTATTATTATTGTTGTTGTTGTTATTATTATTATTATTATTATTATTATTATTATTATTTGTTATTTGGAATCAAACTTGGGACCTTGTGCTTGCAAGGCAGGTGGCAGAACCACTGAGCTTAAATCCCCAGCCCAAGCTACGTTATTTTTGACAAAGGGTCCAAACACCATGCTGGAAGAAAGATAGCCTGGCTATAAAGAAAACTGGCTATGCACATGCCAAAGATTGAACCTAGACCCATATCTCTCACCATGCACTAAGCTAAAATCAAAGATCTAAATATTAAAGTAGAAACACTTCATCTGCTGCAAGACAGAATAGGTAAAACTCTTGAAGACATAGATGTAGGTTCTTTATGGACAGAACCCCAATTTCACAAGAGATACATATTACAAAGAATCAACAAATGGGATCACATCAAATTAAAAAGCTTTCACACAGCAAAAGAAACTACCAGCAGAGTGAACAGATAATCCACAGAATGGGAAAAAAAATTTTACCAGATACTCCTCAGACAGAGGACTAACATCTAGAATATATATAAAAAAATCAGACCCCTCCCCAGGTTCAAAGATCCAATCCAAAAGTAGGCATCTAAAATGAATAGACACTTCTCAGATGAAGAGGTACAAACAGCAAATAAATATATGAAAAAATGTTCAATATCTCTGGTCATTTTAGAAAGGCAAATTCCATCTCTTTCCAGAAAGAATGACTGTCGTCAAGAAATCAACCAGTAACCAATACTGGTGAGGCTGTGGGGACAGGGAGAGAACTTCTGCATTGCTGGTAGGAGTGTAAAGTGGTACGACCATTGTGGAAATCAGTATGAAGATTCTTAAAAAAACTAAAACTAGATGTTCCATTTGACTTAGCTATTCCCCTTCAAGGCATCTTCCTGAAAGATTTAAAAGCATCATACCACAGTGATGCATGCATACCCATGTTTATAACAGCACAATCTATAATAGTAAAATCTTGGGAACAGCCTGTATGCCCATCAACAGATTAATGGATACAGAAAATATGGTGATTATATATAGCGGAGGGTACTACTCTGCCATAAAGAAGGATAAACTTGAGTCATTTCTAGGTAAATGAATGCACCTTGAGACCATAATTTTAAGTGAAATAAATCAGACACAAATTTAAATATTGCATTGTTTCTCTTGTATGAGAAACCCAAAGTATAACTAAGATGCAAAATAAAGGATGGATATTAGGAAGGAAGAAGTATTTTTTTCAAATGAGGAGAACAAGAGATAGGGGGAGGAGAAAGGGGAAAGGGAAAAAATAAAGAAAAAAATTGAGGGAAAAAATTAAAATAGAGCTTTTGCAAATGGGGATGGGGATAAAGGGAGGTGAAGGGGACAAAAAATTAAGATGTGTTACGTGCATGTACAAAGTCTCCATGATGATTATGATAGTTATGTACTGCAAATATCCACTAATAAGATTTTTTAAAAAAAATTTAGAAAAATGAAATAATACATTTCAGACACATATATTCTTCACCTATCTTTATCAGTCTGTACCATTTTGCCTCTTTTTCTATACCTCTCTCTCCTCTTCTCTCATACTTTCACAGGGTCTTGTTTTTGTTGTTCGGTTTTGCAGTGCTGGGGATTAAACTCAGGGCCTCACACATACTAGGCAAGTGTCAATCATTAAGCTATACCAGTCCAGCAAACTTTTATAAGTTTTTTTCTTTTTTAAATTAATTTTATTGATATATTTTGGGTATACCATATAATGACATTCGTCATTGGAAATTTGTACCTTTACATAATATATCTTGGTTCTTATTTTTTCCCCATTCCTCTGCTCTCACTTCAACCCCTCCAACTCCTCCCTATTTACAAAGACTTTGTTTCCATTTTATCCTTTTCTCATATTAATTCCATTCTCTTCTTTCCTTTCCCCTACCCATTCCACTTCTCCTTCCCCTTTGCCATTTTTCTTCCATTCCACATTATCTATTGCATATTTTGAACCTTATTTACACTTTCAGTTTTCTCAAACCAGAAAAACTATTCGGTATTTACACATGTGTATCCTGTTTATTTCATTTAAGAGTATCACCTCAATGTGCATCTATTTAGCTGTAAATGCCTCTAATTTCTCATTCTTTATGGCTGAGTAGTACTCCATTTTATTTTTTAAAAACCACATTTTCTTTAGTCAGTCTCCAGTTGATGGGCAGTTGGACTGTTTCCAGGTTTTAGCTATTACAAACTGTGCTGCTGAACATGGGTGTACATATATCGCTGTGTTATGATTCTTTTCATTCTTTTGGGAAGACACTCTGCAGGGGGGATAGCTAGGTCGAATGGGACCTCTAATCCTAGTTCTTTGAGGTTTCTCCATACTGAATACCACAGTGATTGCACCAGTCTACACACTCCCACCAGCAGTTGAGAAGGGTTCCTTTTTTACCACAGCCCCCCACCCCCCGCAGCATTTGTTACTGGTTTATTTCGTGATAGCAGCCATTCTTTCTGGGATGAGGTGGAATCTCAGTGTTGTTTTCATTTACATCTCTCAAATGACCAGTGATGTGGAACATTTTTTCATGTTTATTTGCTCTTTCTACTTCTTTGAGAAATGTCTATTCATTTCAGATGCCCATTTTTGGATTGTGTCTTTAAATTTGGGAGGTCTGATTTTTTTAAGTTCTTTATATATTCTAGATAGTAGACCATTGTCTGAGGAACAGCTGGTAAATTTTTCCCACGTTGTGGGTTGTCTCTTCACACTGTGCACTGTGTGGTGGTTTCTCTTGCTGTGCAGAGCTTTTTTTTTTTTTTTTTTTTTTTTTTTTTTTTTTTCTGGGTTTTTTTTTTGGGGGGTACTGGGGATCGAACTTGGATCCGTGCAAACCTTGAGCTAGTGAGGCAGGCAGTGGTATCACTAAGCTCACTCCCTGGCCCTGCAGAAGCTTTTTAATAAGAGATCCCATTTGTTGATTCTTTGTGCTAATTCATGTACAACTGAGGTTTTTTTCATAAAATCTTTTCCTATGCCGTTGTCTTCAAGAGTTCTACCTAACCTCTCTTTCAGGCAGTTTAGTGTTTCAGCTTTAATATTTAGATCTCTTTCTGTTTTTTCTTAATCATTTAAAAGTAAGTTGCAGATCACACTTCTCCCCAAAACACTTCAGCAAATGTCACCTATAAAATCAGGACATCATTATTAAATCTAAGAAAAATGACTATTACTTCAGTAATATGTCCATCGTTAGAATTTTGGAACTAATATCCCTTACTCTCTGTTTGAAGTTTCCTATAATTTTCCATTTGAAAAAGCTTTCTTTTAAATAGAAATTTAATTTTATCCCAATCAAAATAATAATACCTTTCCCAACATTTTTTTGTCTTTTGAAGCATGTTCTAGTAAATGATGCAGTCTTCCTTCTATTTTTAGTTCTAGAGTTGTCCCTTGATATCCATGGGGGGTTGGTTCCAGGTCCCCTGCAGATACCAACATCCACAGTGCTCATATTCCTTATATACACTTGATCTTGGCTAAAAGGCTAAGAAGGAATTCAAATTCCTTATGTAAAATGATGGAATGTTTGCATATAACTTAAGCACATCCTCTCATATACTTTTTGTTTGTTTGTTTGTTTTTTGAGACAGGGTCTCACTATATAGTTGAGACTGAACTGGAATTCATTGTGTAGCCCAGGTTGGTCTCGAACTCACAGCGATCCTCCTGCCTCAGCCTCCCAAATGCTAGGGTTAGAGGCATGCGCCACCATGCCTGGCCTCTCATATATTTTAAATCATCCAGATTACTTACAAAACAATATAATGTAAATGCTAGATAAATAGATATTATATACTATGCTGTTTAGGGACAAGAAAAAGTGTCCGTGTGTAGTACAGATGAAAATTGTTTTTAAATATTTTCTTTTCTATCTGTGGTTGGTTTAATCTGAAGATGCAGACTTCACAGATATATAGGGGCAACTGTATTATTATTATTATTATTTTTTGTACCAGGGATTGAACTTGGGTCCTTGTGCTTACAGGGCAGGCGATGGAACCACTGAGTTAAATCCTGGCCCAGGGCAACTGTATTTTGATGATTGTCACCTTAAAGGTTTCTAGATTTTAATTAATGTTGACAAGTTTTCTTGTTTTTCATTGTCTTTATATATTTTTAAGAGATTTTTTTCCTTTATAAACTTAAGATTTATAGATTATATTACAAATTTGATCCACTTTCTAGGTTTAAACAAATTTCTTGAGTGGTGTTTCCTCACTGATGGAGAATTACTTCCAAGCAGAAGCTTACAACCTGGACAAGGTATTAGATGAATTTGAACAAAACGAAGGTGAGAATTTATACTGATGAATCTTTTGATTTCTGATATTCAGAATATGATTATAAAAGAGGACACAGTACTTTAAAAAGAAATAAAATCAAGTCTGATGGCTTAATGACGATAATGATACCCAAAAGAAGAAGAAATAACATTTTAAGCACTATTTGCCAGGTAGTTACATGGATTATTTCATTTAATGTTTAAAACAATCCCGTGAAAGTCGACCTTTCATCTCCTTTTTAAAGATGAGAATAGAGATACAGTGAATTTAAGCCAGTTCCTCCCCATTCATCTTGCTAACGATTGGCAGGATTAGTATCAAGGCAATTTGTGATACTAGAATTCAAACTTTACCTACTTGATACAATCAGTTTATGGCCAAGAAAAACTTTAGGATATGTGTTTGCATTTCTAACCCTAAGAAAAATAGCTTCTTCAATATTGATTGGCCAATAAAGCAAAGACATATCTTAAACCTAATAGACTTTGTTTTTCTGCTAGTTAGGGATTAAATCTTGGTCCTTTCCACTGAGCTAAATCCCCAGGCTCCCTCCTTTTTCTTTTTCTTTTGAGACAAGGTCTCGCTAAGTCGTTGAGTTGCCCAGGTTGGGCTCAAACTTGTGGTCTTCCTGCCTCAGGTTCCTAGAATGCTGGAATTATAGATAATTGCTACTACACCTGGTTTAAATCTCATTTTAAAAAGATTTACATTTTCTAGTAATTGCTATAAAGTGGTTAATTAAATCGCACATTCTAAGCTTCAGTCCAGTGAAGTCTGCTTAGGATTGACTTCATTTGGGGAAGCTTTCCCCCTTAATTTCTTTCTCAATTTGTGTTTTCTACTTCTAACAGAAATGCCAATTTTACAGAGTGAAGTCCAGGATTTTAGTAGTAAAATTCATAGTAGTTCATTGTAGCCAGTTATTCATGTTACTCTTTGATAGCAGTTGGAAAGAGGTTAATTTTGAATTTGTCACTTTGAGTCTTTGATGGAACAAATCTTAAATAGAATATGTGACCATGGATATAAGGAGAGAGAAGGAAGAAGGATGATACCTGGAACGGCCAGCTTTTCTCATATCTTACCACCAATGACCTAGTATCCCTGGGCTCATTATAGATTCATGTAAATGTGAAATGAAATGATTTGAGATTTTGTTGGATCCAGGTGAATTTTGTATATACCTAGCAAAAATGTCTTTTCTGAGATGCAACCATTTATGCAAATACTTTCTTATAGCACTTTTTTCAGTTTAGCCCCCTGTATATTAATTGTTAATAAATATCTACGCACATATTATAACTAACATGAATAATATGCTTCCAGAATATTATTGACTCTATTAAAACTATTAATTTATTACATTAGTTTCTGATTTCTGTAGATTATAAAAGAATACTTTGTATGTAGCTGTACATTTTTGTTCAGTCTGCAACAATGTCTTAGCAAATATAGGACTTGTTAATAATTACTTTGGAAGGAGAAGGATTTCCAAAACCATTTATTCCTTGTAATTATGTGGATTTTTTTGTTTGAACTGTTTTTCAGTGTCAGTACCATTTGCATTTCAGTGTCAGTAACTACTGCCTCTAGCCTAGTACCTTAGAGAGTATGTTTTAAATGAGGTGATATCTTGTTTTGTGTTTCTTCTTTAAATGAGGACTGTGTCACATATGCACTGTGATAGTGCTAGATAATTACAGTATGCCTAGGTAGTAGGAGGTTAAATAATGAAATTTTAGTATCTGATCCTTCCTGTTTGAATATTGTTAACTATTTTCATAAGAAGTGTATCTCTTCTTTTATTTCCAGAAACCAGCTTGGAAATGTGATTTTCAAAAAATCTATATTATTAAATCTCACATTACTTCTAGCCCAAATTTAGGTTTAAATTTAGAATTTAGTAACTCAGAGGATACTAAACCCATTCTTTATATAATCTGGTGTTTCATGACTTTTATTATCTGCTCTTTGTGGTTTCTTTTCACTACTACTTTATGCTACTTATATTCTGAGCCCAAACTGATATACTTACTACTCTATTAAATTCTTATGTTTGGGGCTGTGCTTTTGCTTGTTCCATTTTTTTTTTCTAAATATAAAGAAAATTTCTGAAGCCTAGCCTAGTTCCTCCCACCTCCATGAATTGAATGAAGTTCAGTTACCTCATCTTGTAATATTTTTCTCTTGTGAATTTATTTTCTATTTCTACATAATAGTTTTCAAGCACATATGCTACTCTGTATTGCTAATTTATACATATATATATATATATGTCTTATTGTCCCAGTTAGATTAATACTTTTTTATACAGGCATGAACTTTCATTTAATTTTCATGTTCCACAAACTCAATTCCTTTGCAGTGTTAGCTGCTCACTTAACATACAGGTATTGTGTACCTGCTATATACTAGGGATTATACAAAATGAGGACTTACACTGATGGAATGAGATTATTTCTACCTTCAGAAATCATTCAGTGGATAAAAAGGAGGTAAATAAGTTGTTGCATTACAGTGTAGTAAATGCCTTAATAAAGATATGAGCAAGTTGCTATGGGTGCATTGAAAATTAATGTTATAAATATAGCTGCATAATTTCAGAACTATTATTATCAGTTATTGGAGGAAGAAAACAGGAAAGGCAATAAATTCATTATTATTTTCATAATTAGACATACAATAGCATAATTTGGGAAAATAATTTAGCTGTCATAGTTATGATCTGTTAAAGAGTCAAGAGAAATTTTTCGTGAAATTAGTGTAAACTGATTTAATAAGATAAATATGTTTTGCCAATGTCTTCAAATAATGATATAAATATGAACCTAATTAATAATGTATTGTGACACAGGGCAAAATTTCACATATTATAGCAAACTTTTAAAAAATGTAATGGGCAGTCCCTGCCTTATAAGAGCAAGGTCTCCTGAGTTTGATCCAAACACACACACACGCACATGCACGCACACACAATGGGATACACAGTAATTACATTGATCTTGGGGAATTAGTACATAAATAAACTTAAAATCGACAAACTTAAAATCTACCAATTAAAGATAATAGTATAATAAACTTAAGTACACCCATTATTTCTCTTCAATGGTAACAGATATACTCCCATTTTTGTTTCATTTATACCTTTATCTGTTCCTTGCTTCCTTTATTTACTTTTATAAAGGTGAACTTTATATTCACTAAAATGAATAGATCTTAATTGTACAATCTTTCTCTTTTCAGAGAGGGTCTCACTGTATTGCCCAGGCTGCTTTTGAACTTAGGGGCTCAAAAGATCCTCTCATGTTAGCTTCCCAAGTAGCTTGGACTACAGGCATGTACCCCCATGCCTGGTTAATTATACAGTTTTAATGAAGACATCCATGAAAGCCACATACCAATCATGATATAGATTCAGAGTATTCGATATCCACAAAAAATTTCTTTTTTTAAATTAATTATGTCTTCATTACTGCCCCCCTCAGTATGTGTTTTGCTTTATGCACAGACAATCCAAGGATGCTTTCCCTGATTCTAGGTCCTACGGTCAGTTTAATTATATTATCAGACTAAGGTAGAAGTCTTTTGTTGTTTGAAATGTTCTGAGATACTATTTGATGATATAATTATAGGAAATGGTTTTAAATATATTTTGTCATTCCTACATAAAAATTAGATACATATCCTAGGAATATATTTTATTTGAATTTTACTGTTACCAGCAAACTTATTGTAACTGCTTATTTTTTCCAGATGAAACAATTTCCCCTACTTTATTGGACACAAAGTGGAATAAAATTGTAGATCCTTCTTCTCACCGACTATCATTTAATCCTGCATTGGTTAGTGTGAATGAGCCTTCAGTTTCTAATGAGTCACAGCCACAGCTGAAAGCCTTCTCCTTGGCTCATTCAGCTCCATCCAAGGAGGGAGAAGATCACTGTGCTAATGGACAGAGCTGTAATCTAAATCCAGAGATTGCCACAATGTGGATTGATGAAAATGCTATTGCAGAAGATCAGTTAATTAAGAGAAACTATAATCGAGGCGATCAATACAGTACTGTTGAAGCAGGAGAGAAGAAATGTGGAAATTTAACCTGTCTTCCAGATGAGAAGAATGTTCTTGTTGTAGCTGTCATGCATAATTGCGATAAAAGGACATTACAAAGTGACTTGCAGGATTGTAATAATTATAATAGTCAGTCCCTCATGGATCCTTTTAGCTGTTCACTGGATAATGAAAACAGACAAACTGATCAATTCAGTTTTAGTATGAATGGATCCACTGAAAAAGATAAGAACTCAGAGAAACAAATGGATCCATTGAACAGACCAAAAACAGAAGGGGATTCTGTTAATCATCTATGTACAGTTTCATCTGATAGTCTAACTAGTGTCTCTTCCAGTTCACAATTAAAGGGTGATGAAAATATAGGTAGAGACTCCTCAGTGTCCTTGATTACAAGGTCAACAGTTGATTCAGTAATCTCACCCCAGGGAACAGATAGAGGTCCTACTGTTAAAAAGCAAGAGGACTATATACCAGATGAGGACTTCATTGGCAAAGTCAGCTCTCCTCGGACAGATGTAGGGAGTCCAAACACCTTTTCCCACTTGAGTGAGGAGATTTTGACAGAAAAAGAGCCAGCAGAGGAGAGAACAACTGAAGAATCACTCCAGTCTTGTTTACCTTTGTGTCTCAAACCAGACATACCTGGAAGAGGTAACTCTGAACAATTTTCAGATTGCCTTGTGCCTAGTGAAGTTGGAGCTGAAAGTGAACGTTATGAACATGAAGAAATTCTTGGCACTACAGAACTACTTAATATGACAGAGCATTTCTCTGATTCTCAGGAGATGAGTAATTGGAAATTGACTAAACTAAATGAGATGAGTGATAGCCAAGTAAATGAAGAAAATGAAAAGTTTTTACAGATTAATCAGCCTGACGACACTAATGGTGATAATGTAGGAGAGTGTGTTGGAATGGCAGATGCAGGTCTAGATTTAAAAGGAACTTGCCCAAGTGAAAGTGAAGGATGTGATTTCTCGACTGTTACAGATTCACCAGCAGCACATTCTTTATCTAATGGTTGTGATTCCTGTGGAATGCAAAGCCCAGTTGTTTCTTTTGTTCCAAAGACGTTACCCTCCAAAGAAGATTCAGTAACAGAAGAAAAAGAAATAGAGGAAAGCAAGTCAGAATGTTACTCAAACATTTATGAACAGAGAGGAAATGAGGCCACAGAAGGGAGTGGACTACTTTTAAACAGCACTGGTGACCTAATGAAGAAAAATTATTTGCATAATTTCTGTAGTCAAGTTCCATCAGTGCTTATGCAATCTTCCCCCAAGACCGTAGCAAATCTGCAATCCATCAGTGTTCCTTTTGGTGGTGCAAGACCCAAACAACCTTCTAATCTTAAACTTCAAATTCCAAAGCCATTATCAGACCATTTACAAAATGACCTTCCCACAAACAGTGGAAATAATATTAAAAACAAAAATGATATTCTTGGGAAACCAAAAGTAGGGGAAAATTCAGCAACCAATGTATGTAATGCGTCTTTGGGAAACATCTCTATTGCTGATACAAATGGGGAACATTTAGAAAGTTATGAGGCTTCCAGTAGATCGTGCCTTGCATTAGCTCTAGATAGCCCAGATAATGATCTCAGAGCTGGTCGGTTTGGAATTTCTGCCAGAAAGCCATTTACCACTCTGGGTGAAGTAGCTCCAGTATGGGTACCAGATTCCCAGGCTCCAAATTGCATGAAATGTGAAGCTCGGTTCACATTCACCAAAAGAAGGCATCATTGCAGAGCATGTGGGAAGGTAAGTTGCATATATTAGCTCAGAAACATCTGAGATCAGATAGCTTTTGAAAATCCAGTTCTAATGAGTTTATAAGTAACGACCTTGCTGATCTTAGATAGTAGATGCTTTGTTGTCAAGATTTGTGCTATATAAATTTCTATAAAGAGATGAGAAATGAAGTTTAACTTTGTGGTTTCTATATTGATGGATACTTGGTTAATGGAATAATTGGAAATAAGGAAGTTATTCTTACAGCTTAGGAAATACTTGCAGTTGACTTGATATTTTTTAATTCTTGGAAAACAAGCTTACAATCCATTTCATTTTTTTCTATAGGATTTTGGTGATTGTACTAGATATTCTGGGACTTTATATAGATATGCATACATTTTTTTGTTCTTTCTTCCACATAACTTTAACACAAAATAGAGTTGAAGGCTAAAGGTCCTTATGACAGAGTTATAAGAACAACTGGTATTCCTTATCTCTCCCCAAATTCTGTTAGCTAACAACACAATTTGCTGGTTATTATTATTGTTTTTATTTTAAGAAGAACTGTAAATAAGGAAGAAATGGTATTTTATATTATGTATTTTTAAAAGAATTGTGATTTGATACAGGTCTAGATTCAAATTTTAGGTTTGTTACTATTAACTATGTAATTTTCTTAATCTTTCATTTTCTAATCTAAAAGCAAGCAAAAAATGTGCAATTTTCATTGGGTTGTTTTAAAGATTATACAAAATGACAGAAATTATTACTAAATAATTATTTACATCCTTTCTCACCTGATTTGTCTGTATTAATTAGGTTGCTTTCAATTTCAGGGAAGAATATCTGATCTTCAGTGACTTAAACATAACATTTATTTCACATACGAAGCTGTGAGACTTGGTTATGTTTGGGTTAAGAGTCAGGATTGTAGAAATTCTCTTGGTCTTTGTCTCATAGTCTGAAGATAGTGGTACAGCTCTCTAAGTATCACATTCAACTAGACAACATCATAGGTGCAAAGAAACTGGCTTAGAGAAAAAAGAGCCTACTCCTTTTGCTACCCTCTTATCAGGAAGTAAAGAATCCAACATTTTCTTTCAATTCAGTGGCCAACTCTAGACCACAGATCTGTGACCAGTGACTGGCAAAAGAGCTTGCCAGGATTGGCTAATCAATCGTAATTGGTCTGGGCTTGTTAGTATTTGATTACTAATGTTTAAAAATGTATCTAATTCCATTTTGCAATCTGTATTTGTTAGCTGAAGTAGACCTATGATCAATAGCCCATGTTTCATTAAATTAAATTCATCATTTTATGTTGTTTGTTTTGCATACTACTTATAACACTTTTTGAAATGTTTCCTTTCTTAAGCAAATAACAAAAACATTTTTGGTATAGACCAGCATATCCTGATTTAATTAAGTAAATTAGGTACTTTTGGTAGACAAAGAAAATTCTAAGCTGGGCATGATTACATGTTCCTATAATCTCAGTTATTCGGGTAGCTGAGGTGGAGGATTGCAGATTTGAGGATAGCCTAACACTGTCTCAAATAAAACCTGGCGCTGTGGCAAATGCCTGCAGTCTCAGCTACACAGGATGCTGAGGCAACAGGCTCAAAAATTGGAAGCCAGCATCAGCAACTTCACAAGACATGTCTCAAGTAAAAAATAAAAATAGGGCTAAGAGTGTAGCTCAGTGGTAAAAGTTCTATCCCCAGTACTAAGAGAAAAAAAAAAAAAAAAGAAAATTATAACAAAGTGCATTTAAGTTGAGAAATTAAAATGGAATTTTTGCTATGTGGAATTTGTGAAATTTATGAATTTATATGGATTACAAGCTCATAGTTCCATGTTTTTCCCCATCTTCATTTATTTATCTTAGAGATAAGGACTGATGAGAAAATCTTTGAGCTTCTCAAAAGAAAAGGACTTAAATAAATATAGGTATATTTTGGTGGAAATTAATCAAATTATATAAGAAGATAGCTAGAAAAATAGCCAAAGCAATATGATTTTGTAAAATAACATCCATTGAAAAAAGAAACTTATTTTCATTCTAGTAGAAATTAAACATATCCAGTGTTGTATGAAAGGAGAGAAGGTTAGCACTCCCCCTGACAAGGATGGAAGAGGACCTTGGGCCTGACAACAACACACCGTTAAGGCATTGCCACCTACTTCGTGGCATTTAACCACTGTTTTTAGTTGGAAACTGGATAAAGAAGATGTGGTTTTTCTATAAAATGGAATACTACTCAGCCATAAAGAATGAGAAAGTAGATTCATTCATAGGTAAATGGGTACATTTTGAGGATATACTCCTAAGTGAAATAAATAAGTCATACATATGCAAATACTGAATAGTTTCTCTAGTGTGAAAAACTAAAATAGTACTTAACATCCTAATGGGACAATTGGCAAATAGGAAGAAAAGGACCAAAGGTGTAGGGACAGTGAGAAAGATAGGGAAAGGGGAATAAGGGAAAAGGAAAAAAATATGAGAAAATGTAAAAATGGAATTAAAGTGTTTGAAATGGGGAGGGGAGGTGGGGGTAAAGGGAGGGTGGGGACAAGGGGAAAAATGAGAACCAAGACCTGGCATGTAAAGGTACAAGATCCCAGTAATGAAGGTAACTGTACTGTCTACCTAGAATGTATCAATAAATTAAATTTTAAAAAAAGAAACATATCCAATAATTTCTGTACTTACTAGCCACAGCTAAATTCCCTTTATTGCAAAGAAGCATATGTTAGCAACTAGTACATGAAAGGTTTTGGGCTAGGTATTGGGGGATTTCAGAGGTTCATAAATTTTGATATATGATCTCATGGAATTTATAATTAAAGGCACTGATTTCAGTGAGTGGGGAAGGATTATCTGGATATCTCAGGGTTTTACAAAAATCCAAAAACCAAATTGTGTACCACTGATCTGAGTAGACAGTACCCAGTTTGACAGCAAATTATATGTATACAGTATATTGAGAGCACCAGTTATATGTGATTTATATTTATTCTTATTCAGTCCACATCAGAGTCTTTTAGAGTAGATATTATTTTTTCTGTAGGTCAAAGTTACAGAATTTTCAAGTGCTCTAGCTAGTTCTAAGTCATTCTGCTTCCCCAGCACAAATCCCAATTCATGTTAGTAATATAAACAAAATACTTAAGAAACATTGAATAATGAGAGGTTAATTTTTCTAAGGAGTTTCAAATGACTACTTACAAAGGGAGATACGAAAAATGTATATAATTTATGTAACAAAGTTTTAAAATATGTGAGGAAAATGGAATCTTATCTAATGGCTGGAGAATTAGCAGTAGGAAAAAGTAAATACATCTTACAGAAGAATGCATGAAGATAGAAAATGTGCTTGATTGTAGAGGGGCTAATAAAAAATAAGAAGTTGTTTTGTATACTGTAAGGCTTATATTCAGCTTTTGTTAAGTTGTAATTATAATTGTAATAATATTTTTATATAAGTGGAATACAAAATAATTATACTAGAATTTAGGGAAGTATTAAAACATAGCAGTTTATTTCGGTATTCCTGTAATGGGAGGATCAAGGCCACATGGGTTCCATTCTTGCTGTCATTGTTAATTGGAAAAGCATGTTACTCTAAAATGCTCAAGAAATGTGCTTTGTTTTTATGACTTTACACATTCTTAATTTAGATAATTATTCCATATAGCAATATAATTCCTACTTCTGTTTGATAAGCAACAAATTACAGAATAGAAAGAGTACAAAGAACTTCTCCAAAACATTCTCTGGAAAATCATCACCATTATTATATATTCATGGTAATTTCTTGTTGAAATTTCTGATTCCAGTAGATCTATCAAGGTTCATTTGATTTGAATATTTTGACCCCCATTTACTGGATCATTTTAGTTTAAAAGCCTAGAAGAGCCATTGAATTTAAAATTATAAGAAAAAGGAAGTTCTTAAAAGGAGAGAATTTCTAAAAGAGAAGGTTTTAAAATCTTATTTGCTCATTTGCAAAACTATCACAGGTGTGACTGGTTCTAATTTACTACATGCAAGTTAGTAAATGATTTCTATTTGAAAATGGTAGATGTAAGTACAGATTTTGAAAGTAAAACTTGATAAATACATATATAAAACTTAGATATTTTGTATTTGGGATGGTGTTAGTTGTGAGAATAACAGTTTTTGAATGCCATGCTTTATGCTAGGCTTATGTATTCTAACATCCCACTTCCCTGACACAGTACAGATCAGAGAAATGTGTCTCAGAAAATTTGAGTAACTTACCCAAAATTTCAGAGTTTATTAATGGGAATGTGTGGGTTTTAATTCAAAATTTGTCCAATTTCAAAGCCTCACTATTTTTACTGCGATGGAAATGGAGCAGTATCTGTATCTCAGCATTCTGGGAGGCCGTGACAGGAGGATTCCAAGTTTGAGCCCAGCCTTAGCAACTTAAGTGACTTAGCAAGACCCTGCCTCAAAAGAAAAAAGAGCTGGGAATGTAAGAAAGCCCTGGGTTAAATCACCAGTACTAGAAAAAAAAAAAAAAAAACAGTATCTCTACTTAAATTGCTAACTAGAAAGATGTCATTGTTTTTAAATGAACATTAGGTTTGGGCAGCGTTAAGGGATTGAGAATTTGAATATTTGAATTTTTAAGGCAGACAAGTGATTGGTGCTCTTGGGTAGTAGTGGAGTCTATTAGCAGATTTCTATTTTCAGTTTTCTCAAACTACGAGGTATGAAGAGAACATTATGGACACCACTTTTTTGAAAGAAGAGATTTAGTGACAGTAATATATATCACTTGATGTACCCACATTATTTTCTACTTTGTTTTTAAAAAGATAAAATAGATTAATTTAATGCATTGATTAGTGGTTTGAATAGACAGAATAGACAACTGTAGTACAACAGTGTGGAAAGGAGCCCTAGGATGAGAATGAAAAGCTCTGAAGCTCTCTTTTCCCCTGTAAAAGGAGGGATTGCATACAGTTTCTTTCTCCCTGCAGGGTCTAAAAGA